GTCTGTGTCATATGTTGGCACTCGGAGCAATGACACCAAAACTGGTGATGTGAATAACAACAAAAAAGGGATGGAGAAGAATGGACCTAACTGGCTTTGTACTGACAGCCTTTATATTCATCTGACAAAATGAACCGCTCATTCACATTTATACACGTGTACGGACTGATACAAAATTCATAGATGGAAATAAAAAACTGAAGTAAAAAGCATACATCTTGTATGTTCCTTCCCAAACGAAAAAAAAAGTGGGCCTAATTTTTAGAATAAAGAATATGGTTTTATGTGGCTTCGTATTTTTAATATCTACTGGGAAAATGCATTCAGCTGTGCTAAGATTAGTCATTCTAGTTGCATAAAAGCATGGGAAATGATCACATGTTAATTTCTGCTGACCTCTTTTATGTTAAACCATGTAAAGTACTTTTTCAATTAGGAAGCTGATTCGATTTACCACGAGTTTAGATTAGAAATGTCTGAGCTGAATTGAAAACCAGATTATAAATCATTTCAGTATGACATTTGGATAAAATATAAAGATAATCTGAGTTTATTTATGATGTCCCGTCAGGGAAATTCATGAGAATTAACTTTCTCATGACAGTTCTAATAATAATCATTTCTGACCACATTAGAAATACTGTACTTTCCACATGAAGAAAGTTTGCTTAACATTTCATATCCTATTTTGATATCTAGCTGAAACCAATGAGGACAAAAAGGTATTACAATTATTTTGAAAATGGAGTATTTTTCGAAGACGATGTAATACAGGAGAAGGCATAACCATTTACATTGTAGAGCATAAGTTCAATTGCACATGACACCTGTCTGGGGAGCTTTTCAAAAAATTCTTACATCTGGGTCATAATCCAGATGCATCAAATCTGAGCCTCCGGGAGTGGGGACCAGGTGAATCCAGATGCATCAAATCTGAGCCTCCAGAAATGGGGACCAGGTGTCGGTACTTGTTCCAAACTCCCCCCAGGTGATCCTAATGTCCAGTCAGGGCTGAGAACCACATTCTAGAGGCATGACCTTGGGCAAGTGAGGTTAAGAGAAAGCTCTGAAGATGGCCCTGAGTATAAGCTGGTAATGCCAAGGGTTTACCTCTCTGACAAGATTCTGCAAGCACTACAGAAGAAAAGGCTAAAAAGTTCCTTGAAATTAAGTAAAGCCCCAGAACAGCAGTGGTGACTTCCAGGCTGTTCTTTGAACTGATCCTGTCTTGAAATCAGTGCTGAAAGTATCCAGGTGCTGCTTCTGTGGCAAAAGCAGTGTCAGGAAGAGGGAAGGAGAAACCCCTATAAACGTGAGTGTGTGTGCACTTATTAGAATTTGTTTTTATTTCTCATGTGGAAGAATGATTGTTTCATGGCTTTGATTTTGTGAAATTTCTTGCGTGTGCATTCTTCCTTTTGTGCACATCTTAAGACAAAACACAAGTAGAAGAAACTTAGTCAAACCATAATTGAAGCTTTGGACTATTTTTTAATTTACTGACCCACTATCAGCACACATTTCTGGGCTGTGTGTTGAGGCCCCCCTCAACACACAGGATTTAATAGTAGTGAAGGAAGTAGTGAAGGAAGTTGTTAACAGGAGGGAGAGAGCAGAAGCAGGGGGAGCAGCAGGGACGGGGAGAGGCAGACTCCCCGCTGAGCCGGGATTCTGATGAGGGGCTTGATCCTAGGACCCTGAAATCATGATAAGGATGAACAAGATGAGGTACTGGCCACGATGAATTAGGTTATTATTGACTAAGTCTTAGAAGTAGGATAGTTGTGAATAAA